ATGTGCTCTGAAACGGCGCCCTGGTACTTCCCGAATGTCGTGGCAGCAGCATGCGCGGCGCAACTCTGAAAAAATGTCTGGGAAACGTACTGGTGGTTTAGCAGCGAGTATCGCTTTGTCAACTTAGGCTCTTGTGAACTGGTGGTTTAAACCATGGTCGCCCCGGACCCGAACATCCAGACACCGGACACCGGACCCAGACCTGTGTCTGGACTATGCATGACAGGTCCGGATGTCCAGATAATAATTAATTAATTAAATAAACACACACACACACACACACACACACACACACACACACACACACACACACACACACACACACAACCAGTTCTCCTTGGCCTGCTGAAGCTCACCCAAGATTGCAAGTACAGGCTCTTCAGGGCCAGGCTGGTTGGCCCAATGATCCACCTAAAACTGCACCAACAATTTTCGTGGGTCCACCAGGCACGGGAAAATCGCCTGGGGACCCCAATTTTTTTTTTCTGAATTTTCTAGAAATGAGGCCTTACCGGATCGGACGCCAGATCCGAATATCCAGACAGGACCGTCTGGATCCCGATCCGCACGTCCGGTTAACAACCATGGTTTAAACCATATGGCCCATGTGTCAAAAGGAGGGTGACTGTGGCTTTCCTTGGGCAAACAATCTTGTTCCGAGTATACAGTGGCAAACTCAACTTACGAAACTGTGGTCAATGATTATTATAATATTATTATTATAAGTTTTATCATTAATATGTTTAAACCATGGTTGCCCCGGACTCGGACATCCAGACACCAGACACCAGGCCCGGACCCGTGTCTGGATTAATCTGGATGTCCGGTAAACCGGACATCGATCCGGACAACCGGACATATGGACCCGGATGGTCCGGTTATGAAAGAACAGGTCCGGATGTCCGGATTGAAAAACAAAAAAAACCAGGCTACTGTAGTTGTGTAACTTGTGTTATCCGACTTATCTTGAACACACTCACATACACACACAGTGCCGTGCACACACAGAGCTGCAAGAACAATGGAAGGGGTACCCCAAGGACAACCAAAAACTGTCTAATTATAAACTTCCCTTAATGTGTTGGATTGTGACTGTCTCATCTCAAATGCTCTCGTTGTCTGCAATACGACAAAGACTGCTTTGATTCTGAATCTATTCATCTGGGTGGAATTGGGGCTGTTGGGGGGGAAATCACATGCTGACACACACACACACACACACACACACACACACACGCACACGCACAGTCTCATCTCAAATGCTCTCGTTGTCTGCAATACGACAAAGACTGCTTTGATTCTGAATCTATNCACACACACACACACACACACGCACACGCACAGTCTCATCTCAAATGCTCTCGTTGTCTGCAATACGACAAAGACTGCTTTGATTCTGAATCTATATATCTGGGTGGAATTGGGGCTGTTGGGGGGGAAATCACACACAGACACACACAGACACACACAGACACACACAGACACACACAGACACACACACACACACACACACACACACACACACAGTCTCATCTCAAATGCTCTCGTTGTCTGACTGCGTTGATTCCGAATTTATTCATCGGGGTGGAATTGGGGCTGTTGGGGGGGAAATCACACACACACACGCACACACACACACACACACATCATCACACACACACACACACACATCATCACACACACACACACACACACACAACCAGTTCTGCTTGGCCCGCTGAAGCTCACCCAAGATTGCAAGTACAGGCCCTTCAGGGCCGGTCTGGTTGGCCCAACGGTCCACCAAAAACTGCACCAACAATTTTCGGGGGTCCACCAGGCACTGGAAAATTGCCTGGGGACCCCAATTTTTTTTTCAATTTTTCTCAAAATGGGGCCCAACCGGACACCTCAAACCGGACACCGGATCTGGACATCCAGACCGGACCGTCGGGATCCGGACGTCCGGTTGACAACCATGGTTTAAACTGTGGTAAAATAGTTATATGCTTGAACCACAGGCTTGGAAAACCCTCAAGAGTGAGAGAGTTAGAGAGTGAGAGAAATTTACTTCGGGCCAGGGTAGTTTTGGCGCCTACCGCCAAGACCTACTGTAGGCGGTAGGTGCGCCTACCGGTCGGGCCAACCCGTAGGCGGACCCATCGGTGGTGGGTAGACTGCCTTGCAATTGCTTTTTTTTCTGATTACATGGTCGTGCGCGGCTTGAGGAGCCAGCCCGAATCCAC